GGGATGACGTTTCGGCGGGTTTTTAATCGGTGACACGGAATTTTAGCGATCCGGGCCATGAAATTTCATTTCACACGATTTCGGTACGATCGACGCGAATTTCTCCGAACCTTCGTTTCCCTTACTTTCTAGTCGATTCAAATCCATTTTCTTCGAATCAAAACTCATCAAAATTAATTCCAGCAATTTCTCGTTGTTTATTACATTATATTCAAGCTTTATTATTTGAATTTCATTCGACTAAGTTTTTAATCGATTAAATATAGTTTTTCCGTGGCATCTCAACCAACGAATACAATTTTATTCGACATCGTCGAATAAATATCTAATGGGATAAAACTTTATCCATGTAAGATCTTGTTTGAATAAGAATTTATTCGTACACACATACGATAGAAAGTACAGCGTTTTTTTCATAGTTTATCGTCTTATCTCTTCCACGCACGTATTCGTATAAACATATTTTTATAAAATTACGTAAAACAAATGAGTCAACTTTTAACGACCGCGCTAGAGACCTCAAAAATTTTCATAAAACTAAAATATTTCATTCTATTGAACAAAAATTACCATGTAAACTTATATAGTGGGATCGCGCCGTTCAGATCCTGTGTCGCGACCTCTTTGCAAAGGCGCCCACACCAGTCTGTGTCGCGATAATCAAGCGATGACGAGTTAGCTCTCAGGAAGTTACGAATCCAACTCAAATTATTTCTAATTTTCATTTGTTCGTTTCATTTCGTCTTGACCTCGAAACATTTTAAACATATTAGAATTTATACGAATATAATTTAGCTTTCGCCGGAATTACAATTTAAATATCAATTTGTAACAAAATTTTACGAATGACGAATATAATCGTCGTGACACGAAATTCTGCCACATCTTCATGACGGATATAGTCGTCGGACACACTTAACTGGTTAATTAAGACAAGCGCTATCACGCTGCTCGGCATTTTTCGACCATGTTTTCTGAATAACCCCTGTGGGACTCGAACGGTTAAATAATTCCTGCCCGCCGTTCGCAGGTCAGAGGACAATTACGTGCAACTTTGTCATCCGAACTTCACACGAAACTTTTAAAAATGCGTTTTTTAGATCTCTGTAAGTTGTACGCGCGCCGAGCATTTCATTGAAATTTAAAAGCTTAAGAAACGAGAATTTCTATCTGTTTCGTCACTCCGAATAATAGCAAAATTGAAAAGTATTGAACAGTATTTTAGTAATTTTACAGTGAACTAGTCCCTTTAGCGTTTAACAAAAATTCAAGTAGACCAGTTTCAAAAAAAGTTACTGCGTCTTAACGCGTTCGGCGCCGACAATCGACCACGAAAATTCCCACAAAGTCGAAGCAATTTAATCAATTAAACCGAATCTATAGAAAGTTAAATTCAGTTCATCCAGTTCGTTCGAATACATTACAACGAAAATGAATGTTTAAAATTGGTCATAAATTAATGTCCCCCGTATGTGACTGACGCGGCGATCAACGCGTTGGAAAGGTGTTCGAATGCTTTTCGCTAATCGCTCGTGGCTGTCGAGATTATCTGTTGCATCGATCGATATTTTGCAACAAAATGAAACGGCTTCCACCTCCGGCGTTCCGTGCGGTTTAACAGGACGGAAAAAATACAGGCTCGGTTTTGAAAAGTTCGCGATTGCGAGAGAAACAAGGGCCGACAGCGAGGTAAACTACCGATAAAAATCGAATAGCCGTCTAGATCGGCGGTGACAGGGGGATGAATTGTACTGCGGGTGACAAGAACGGTTCGTCCGAACGCGTCGCATAAAACAGGGGCACCGTTGCCATTGTCAGGCCGGGCGCAATCGAGCACAATGACGATGCACATCGGTTCCCGGAAACCGGGCGATTCATTTTCTTTTATTCCAGCGACAAAAAAAAGATATAGTTTCAATAGGCGTCGATCGATCGAACCGGTGAATACACGTCGCACAAAGGAGAAACGTAACGCGAAGGAGCCAAACGGGTCTTAGGACCGCGAATTTCCCATCGGCCTCCTTGGCGGTCGCGGAACGTCGCCGTACGAAGCTGGAGCGAGCTCGTCGGGTTCCGTTATTGACAAATCGATACACAAACCCTTTTCCCGGGATTCGGGAAAATTGAATTAGACCGGAGACGTTTCCGCTGAAATCATGTTACAATATTGGAAAGTTTGTCGCGGAGTTGCGCATTGTTCGAATTCTTTCGAATAAGTACTTATTTAAGACGATTATCCGTTTGAATTTCTTTTAGTCGAATATTCTAATCGAATAACGATTACTCGTTGTTCGTCGTGGATTATTCTATCACTTTGTTCGAATAATCATTTATTTCAACAAGTTATTCGAATCTGGATTTTAACACTTTGCCAACCGAATGGGGAGATCTCCCCGTTTTAAATTCAGTCGATCGACGACCGAATGGATGATTAATGAAAAATTAAAACTGATTGCTTAATTTGATTAAGACTTGCATGAGGTACGAATGCTGAAGAAGTAATTGATGCCATATAAGTTTGCTTGGTAATTTTTGTTCAATAGAATGAAATATTTTAGTTTGACGAAAATTTTTGAGGTCTCTAGCGCGGTCGTTAAAAGTTGACTCATTTGTTTTATGTAATTTTATAAAAATATGTTTATACGAATACGTGCGTGGAAGAGATAAGTCGATAAACTATAAAAAAAACGCTGTACTTTCTATCGTATGTGTACGATCGTATGTGTGCGAATAAATTCTTATTCGAACAAGATCTTACATGGATGAAGTTTTATCCCATTAGATATTTATTCGACGATGTCGAATAAAATTGTATTCGTTGGTTGAGATATCACGGAAAAACTATATTTAATCGATTAAAAACTTAGTCGAACGAAATTCAAATAATAAAGCTTGAATATAATGTAATAAACAACGAGAAATTGCTGGAATTAATTTTGATGAGTTTTGACTCGAAGAAAATGGATTTGAATCGACTAGAAAGTAAGGGAAACGAAGGTTCGGAGAAATTCGCGTCGATCGTACCGAAATCGTGTGAAATGAAATTTCATGGCCCGGATCGCTAAAATTCCGTGTCACCGATTAAAAACCCGCCGAAACGTCGTCCCGCCGCGCAAACTAATTCCAACTTCGATTCTGTCGAATCAAATTTGATGGAAACTGTTTAAAACTAAAATTGACTGGTTAAAATGTCCGAAAATCGTATTCCGACGGAATAACTGCTGATTGGAAGTAGATTCTACCGAAAAGGATTGTCCTCCGACTGGAATTAAATTTTGACCAGCAGAAACAAACGCTCGGCGAAACCAAGATCGGGCGGAAAAAATTGTTTAACACTAAACCTACCGCGGTCAAAGTGACCGCTTTCTTGTTTTGCATTTCTGCAAAGTTCCGAGACTCTTTCGTGGAAAACGCTCGAATAAGTTATATNAACAAGATCTTACATGGATGAAGTTTTATCCCATTAGATATTTATTCGACGATGTCGAATAAAATTGTATTCGTTGGTTGAGATATCACGGAAAAACTATATTTAATCGATTAAAAACTTAGTCGAACGAAATTCAAATAATAAAGCTTGAATATAATGTAATAAACAACGAGAAATTGCTGGAATTAATTTTGATGAGTTTTGACTCGAAGAAAATGGATTTGAATCGACTAGAAAGTAAGGGAAACGAAGGTTCGGAGAAATTCGCGTCGATCGTACCGAAATCGTGTGAAATGAAATTTCATGGCCCGGATCGCTAAAATTCCGTGTCACCGATTAAAAACCCGCCGAAACGTCGTCCCGCCGCGCAAACTAATTCCAACTTCGATTCTGTCGAATCAAATTTGATGGAAACTGTTTAAAACTAAAATTGACTGGTTAAAATGTCCGAAAATCGTATTCCGACGGAATAACTGCTGATTGGAAGTAGATTCTACCGAAAAGGATTGTCCTCCGACTGGAATTAAATTTTGACCAGCAGAAACAAACGCTCGGCGAAACCAAGATCGGGCGAAAAAAATTGTTTAACACTAAACCTACCGCGGTCAAAGTGACCGCTTTCTTGTTTTGCAATTCGTGAAAGTTCCGAGACTCTTTCGTGGAAAACGCTCGAATAAGTTATATTATTGGAGCAAGTTTTATGATAAAAACTTTACAAATTCTAAATAAATTCGGTCTTTTCACTTTTGTGAAGCAGTACATGCCAGTTAATATTACTGCTTCGTAGGTTTGGTGTTAAACAACGTAATATTACAGTAATGTCTCCCTAACTGACGCTCGGATTGTGCAGAAAAATAGACAATTTGGGAAGAGGAGATACGATTGTTCGAGCCTTGCAGCTCGTTTTTATAATCGTTGAAAATTGATAACTATTAAAACGAGTCGCAAGGCTTGAATTCGCAAGGCTCCGATGTGCCCAATTAATGGCCAGATAGATTAGAAAATAATTCTTACGCTTTCGACGACCATAGTTAAGACCTGCGATTAAAGTATCGTAGATCCTTGCGATTAATCAAAGTTCCGCGAACCATCGGACTGCGGATACCGGTTGAATTTGACCCGGTGTACAGTAATGTCTCCCTAATTGACGCTCAGATTGTCCACAAAAATGGACAATTTGGGTAGAGAAGATAGGATTGTTCGAGCCTTGCAGCTCGTTTTTATAATCGTTGAAAATCGGTAACTATAAAAACGAGTCGCAAGGTATACTGAGTACTGCTTGGTAGGTTTAGTGTTAATAACAAGTGGAATTTGTTCGAACGTCACATATTCAATCGACAAAACGGAGCTTACGCGTTAACACGCGTACGCTGATAATTATCCGCGCATTTCCAATCAGTTATTCCTGCTCGAAGTCGTAGCTCCCGATGCAAAAGGATTAAACGAGAATAGGCGAAATCGCGAGCCAGCGCGACGAAATCACAAATCCGGGGCTGTGCAACGTCGATAACGAATGCCATATGGATGATACACTAATTTGCTAACCGGCCGTCCCGTTTCTCTGTTACAGCAGCTCCATTCAGAGTATAGGAGCACGTACACATGGCACGAGTACACAGGGCCGCACCAGGAGCACGCGGTCGTTCGCCGAGCGCCGCAACCGCCGCCGACCTCGAGTAAGTTGGTCCCCCGTCTCTTGTTAACGTTTCTTCATCTATTATGTATACGAGCTGTTCCACGCGAATCAGCCGCGGCTCGAATCGTTCATAGAATCCAGGACTACGAAGAGGAACGCCCGAGGGCGACGACAACGCCATTTTCGGCTCTCCGGTTCTCCGGCTTCGTCGCGATCCGATCCGTCCCTCCGAGGTCGTTGAACTCGAATTCGGCGCGATCTTTCATCATCGAACCACCGAATATCTGTTTCCGTTCGAGTCGTGCCTTGGATGATGTTAGATATTTTTTCAAGTTGTTTTAAATTGTCTGAAATCCGATCCGTCTCTCCGAGGTCTTTGAACTCGAATTTGCCGCGATCTTTCATCATCGAACCACCGAATATTTGTTTCCGTTCGAGTCGTTCCTTGGATGATGTTAGAGACTTTTTCAAGTTGTTTTAACACTAAACCTACCAAGCAGTTAATACTAACTGGCATGTACTGCTTCACAAAAGTGAGAAGACCGAATTTATTTGGAATTTGTAAAGTTTTTATTATAAAACTTGCTCCGATAATATAACTTATTCAAGCTTTTTCCACGAAAGAGTCTCGGAACTTTGCAGAATTGCAAAAATAAGGAAGCGGCCACTTTGACCGCGGTAGGTTTAGTGTTAAATTGTCTGAAATCCGATCCATCTCTCCGAGGTCTTTGAACTCGAATTCGGCGCGATCTTTCATCATCGAACCACCGAATATTTGTTTCCGTTCGAGTCATTCCCTGGATGATTTTAGATATTTTTTCAAGTTGTTTTAAATTGTCTGAAATTGTTCGAAAATGTTCGAAGTTGCTTGAAAATGCTTGAAATTGTTCGAAAATGTTCAAAGTTGTTTGAAAATTGCTCGAAGTTGTTTGAAATTATTTAGGATCGTCTGGAACTGTTTGAACTCGTTGAAAATTATTCGAGGTCGTCTGAAATCGAATCATTTACACGCTTCTTAACTTTAGCGAACCAAATCGTCGAAATCAGCTCTTAAATCCATTGACTGCCACGCTAATTTAGCGCGTCTTGCCCTGGGTGCCACGGTTTTATTTGAAAGAATCCACGAAGTTTTACAAAATATAATAATATTAAGTTACTGATATAATATTGCGATAATTTTAATAATAAAAATTGATAATCAATATGTTCTCTACACTATATTATTATATTATTATATATAATATTATATATATATTATTATTATATATATTATTATATATTATTATTATATACATTATTATATTATTATATATAATATTATATATTATTATTATATATATTATTATATTATACATTTTTCATTCGTCCTTTCTAATAGTTCCTAGCTCAAACAGCCATTTGTAGCCAATCTAAACTTGCAGCACCCACTACGAGATATCTCGTAGTTGGCAGTCAATGGGTTAACGACTTAGACTCGTCAAAGTCTGCAGTGGCACATGAAACGAACGACGACTCCAACTCGTCGTTGTATGTCAAGAGGTTGAATAAAAAATGATACCGATCCTACGAGTTTCACTTGAAACAAATGATCGGTGGTTTGAACCAAAACTTCTTCAAATCTGCGCCCCTAACGTTCTATCACTCTAAACCAGGGGTGTCAAACTCAAAAGCTAACTTGGGCCAAATAAACAATGCTTAACTTTAGGTGGGCCGCAAAAAACAAAATCAATGTTCATAGAAACAAATATTTTTATTTTGACTAGTACATTGTAATAAACACATATATAAAGTTAACACGTTCCGTGCCGAGCTTTTTTTACTCGAATCTTCACACTTTGATATTTTACTAAAACTTGATGTATTACGTGCAATTATTAATTCTCGTACACATAACAACGTAACAAAAACTTATCAACGCCCATTCTTGCGGTGGAAATTGATTCTTCGGTTCTAAATTTCTTGTAAACAATTTGTTCAGTTCACTAAGTAAACATGCAAGCGTGTACCATCGATGGTACACGTAGCACGGAACGTGTTAAATTATTGTTTACGTCCTGATACTTGACATCTCTTCTCTGCTACTATCTTTCCTATTTCGGGAGAAATTTGATTGGCCGAGACTACTTTCAAAATTTCTAATTCACATTTCTATTTTATTTTTACTTTGCGTCGGATATATTGACTGGGCCGCTAAAACGTCCATCTCGGGCCGCGAGTTTGACACCCCTGCTCTAATTGCCAACTAATTATTACCCGTTCCCCTAGCAGCTTGTTAAATATGCTTCGGAAGATTCTCGTCTCTCCGGAGACCGTCCGAAACGAAAAGAGCCGGCCGATTCGCGAGGAGCAGCCCGCACGGTTTCTCCTCCTCACGATCTAGCCTCATCAGTCTCCTAATCAGTACGATAGCCTCGTAGCAAGATCGTGGCGTAGCGGGCCACGCGTGTTGTCTGAGCAAAAGGCGGCGCGGAAAGTTGCAAGCCGAGTAAATCGAGATTTCCCTGGACGATTCCGAGAGCAGGCCAGTCGATTTCGGAACAATTTTGCTCAGGCATTCACGTCACGCCGGCCGAAGGTTAATCGTCTCCACGAATTCGTTAGCGTGTCGCATTAACGTGCCGCGAGCGTGAGTCAAGAAAAAAAGAAAAAAAAAAGAAAAATAATGGAAACGTGGATTAGAACGATGCCGCGAGGGAATTGAAAATTCGCAGCGAACTCATCCATCCCCTCCGGCAGAAGATATGGTTCTCGTCCGCGGTGGTGTTTTGTTTGTTGTCGCGCGGCGATCAATTAAACGGAAAGTAAAACGTTGATCGGGCGCGATCGTGTGCTATCGAAAGATCGAGGAACGACGTTTGCCGTCGCGAGATCAAGTCGATCGATGTTCGCTCGCCAGGCAACGTGGGAATAACGGAGGGAAAATTCACGCTCGCCTTCGAACCGATTCTTCGTCATGATTATCGGCCACCTATTTTTCTCACGTTTCTCATACTTCCATTCCCTCCGTAGTATTGTAAACGTGTTTAGTGATCTTTTTACTCTGGTCGTGCTGCCGTTCGTACATACGTTTTACACACTGGGTGTCTCCGAAATCGCGGTGCAGCGACAGTCGTTCCACCGTACGAAAACGTCACGTTGGCGAGAACGTTCCACTCCGATCCTTTGCTCGATCGTTCGAAACAGATCTTACAGCGTTTCCTATGATTTCTGTTTTTTCTTCTTTTTTTTTGAATATGTTATTAGCGTTCATGGCAGTTTGATTTTTTCGTTTGCCGAGTTCGCGATCTCCGCGAAGTTTCGGGGAGCAACTTTTTCGCCGAATCGACGAATGAAAATTGAAATGGAAATTTTTAATTGTGGAAGGTTTTAACGGGAATCGAGCGATTCTAGGGGTCGTGTGAAACTTTTCTACCCTGTCTGTACCTATTGCTCGTTTGTTCTATTTACCATGGAATACAACGAAATTGTTCTAGTCTGTTTCTTTCTTCGACTTCTGCACGAAGGACAGTATTCATCGAAATCGTCCGGCGATTTCTGACGCACCCTGTACATGGTCTCGATATATCGCACACGCTCTGTCGTCACGTTTCACCCCCCGGTTCATAACCACACCACGTTCCATTAAACGTGAACTCTCATAACACCATAAGTATAGATAATATTTTCTTTCGCTACGATCACATTTTACTCGAATTTGTACACATGTCTCTATACGGCGGGGGTGCGGCCAGATTCGAGGGTTCGTTAAATAGAAAATGATTTCTTCTTTGCTGATCGCGAGAATGAATTCTAATCTGCGATGATATTAATTAGAACGCGAAGGATCGTGGATCTTGATGCATTCGTGGTGTTTTGACGGATATTTTCACTTCACTGAAAACGATTGTCGATTAACGAAATTCATTTGCCTTTTGTTTTTGAAAAATTGGAGTTTGCTAAATTCTTTATTAAAATTTTGATTTATTGAAATCTTGAATATAATGTAATTTATTATATACTGTTATATAATGTACTAGTATATTATTGTATACTGTTTAGAGTTTGCAAAATTCTCTCTCTCTTTTATTAAAATTTTGATTTATTGAAATCTTGAATATAATGTAATTTATTATATACTGTTACATAATGTACTAGTATATTATTGTATACTGTTTAGAGTTTGCTAAATTCTCTCTCTCTCTCTCTCTCTCTCTCTTTATTAAAATTTTGATTTATTGAAATCTTGAATATAATGTAATTTATTATATACTGTTATATAATGTACTAGTATATTATTGTATACTGTTTAGAGTTTGCAAAATTCTCTCTCTCTTTTATTAAAATTTTGATTTATTGAAATCTTGAATATAATGTAATTTATTATATACTGTTACATAATGTACTAGTATATTATTGTATACTGTTTAGAGTTTGCTAAATTCTCTCTCTCTCTCTCTCTCTCTCTCTTTATTAAAATTTTGATTTATTGAAATCTTGAATATAATGTAATTTATTATATACTGTTATATAATGTACTAGTATATTATTGTATACTGTTTAGAGTTTGCAAAATTCTCTCTCTCTTTTATTAAAATTTTGATTTATTGAAATCTTGAATATAATGTAATTTATTATATACTGTTACATAATGTACTAGTATATTATTGTATACTGTTTAGAGTTTGCAAAATTCTCTCTCTCTTTTATTAAAATTTTGATTTATTGAAATCTTGAATATAATGTAATTTATTATATACTGTTACATAATGTACTAGTATATTATTGTATACTGTTTAGAGTTTGCTAAATTCTCTCTCTCTCTCTCTCTCTCTCTCTCTCTCTCTTTATTAAAATTTTGATTTATTGAAATCTTGAATATAATGTAATTTATTATATACTGTTACATAATGTACTAGTATATTATTGTATACTGTTTAGAGTTTGCTAAATTCTCTCTCTCTCTCTCTCTCTCTCTCTCTCTCTCTTTATTAAAATTTTGATTTATTGAAATCTTGAATATAATGTAATTTATTATATACTGTTATATAATGTACTAGTATA